GTTTTTTCTGGAGCCAATCTACCGTGTAAAAACAGAATAAGGTGTATCATAATTAAGTAAGATATAACATTGAAGTGGGGGAAGAAACAAAGGATACTAAGGATACTTTGAGCTGAAAACACAAAATGGATCATGAGCATCATGCGGAATGGGACGCACATGGTTTCTGGAACAACCCCGCTGGGGAATCAATATTGTCGCATTAATAAGGAGTAATAAAGGATCAACACAATGAGCCAAAGCCTATCAAGCAGCCAATTTCGATTCCAGCCTAACCTATTAAAAGCAAAGAGAAGGAATTGTCTCTGCACACATACAGAATATACGAGTATAAGAAACGAGAATATATCGCTCATTTTCAAAAATGTAATAGCTTAGTGATATAGAAGCCCGCAAACTCCTTAGTTCATCGCTAAATAAAGCCAACTTGTTGTCGAAAAGCACTTCTAGATCCTCAACTATGCATATAGGTTGATCATTTAAGGATATTTATCCTTTTAACATTTTAAGCATCTTTGTTAGAATAATAGATAATCAAGTTGATGCAATTTTCAGGCAATTATTTGTTATACGCCATAATCCTTATACGAAATTGTTGTAGTTTCTTTAAATGTTTTATTTGCTTTTAAGGTGAACAGCATTTATAAGGTCGGAGAAGCCATCTTATCAACATATTCTTCTTGAATAAAACAAACAGTTTCAATCTTTGAAATTACAGTAATTGTTCTTGAAACTTTTAAAGATCACAGATAATTTAAGAAACTTTTATTTAAAATTAAATGAATACTTTTGCAAACCAACAATTTTTAATATTTGTTAATTTTCTTGAAACTTTTTAAAATGACAGTTTAGGGAAATAATAAGAAACTTTTACTTAAAATTAAATGAAACAAAAACTTTTCAATTCAACTTTTTAAGAAGACAGTTTAATGAAATTATAAGAAACTTTACTTTTAAAATTAAATAAATATTTGTGCGAACGAATTTTAATTGACCTGATCAAGTTCAAACTATAAGATTTTTAGCCTTAACTTTCTAAATACAAGTATGTCCTCCATTAATTTGCGAACTGACATTGTATTAGCCATGTTTTTTAAAAAATTACCATAGCTGCTTTTAAATCTTTTAATTGCATATAACTTATTCTGCAAAGTATTCCCCAAAGGTTCTATATGAAATGTACTATGGACTTTTTCTATACTGGCATTTTTCTATACCCTACAAATTGTTTTATCCCATAATATCCATACATTTATTTTGAAAAATTAGTGAGATTTTTGATCCATAGTTTCACATATTTTTCTCTGAGTTCATTGAAGCTTATGACTCTTTCTTTAGCGAACTATACTTGTTTGGGGATCCTGATGTCACGATAATAGTATTGATACCCATCTGGTTCTTAGAGGAAGTTGAAGTTTTTTTCATCATTTATATGGCGTTGTCTTTGGAAGAGGCAGCTACTGCATGTCTTATTTGTTTAAAAGCTTTAAGTGTGCGCTGTTTGTACAAAATACGATGTAAGTACAGGAAGGAAATCCACAAGTGCACATTAGCAGGAGTGACACACAGATACACACACACACACACACACACACACAGACACAGAGACACATACTGTGGAAATACCAACAGGCAGATGGATATATGTACATCTATAGACAGGCCGACAGCCGTTTGGTCGGTGGCACAGACAACCTCATTCATTGCCACAACTGCGGGTTCCTGTGTTACATCCTTCCGGCATGAAATTACTCTGACACACCAAGTTGTCCTTGTCTTTGTTGTTGTTGTTGTGTTGTTGATGTGTTATGCTGTTGTCATCGTCCTCGTTGTTGGGTCGTTGCCTGGTTATGAGAACTGCGTCTGACTGTCTGCCTGCCGATGCATCAGTGGCATAGTAAGACAGGGTTCGACATTTAGAAACGATATTGCAACTACTATATTGAAACATTCGATATATGTGCTTGTAGTATACTACAATATATGTATATGTAATCATCATTGTATCCCCGTCCCGATTCAATTCGATATTTGGCATGTTTGACACGTTCGTGCATTCGAATTTTTCCGCTGCTGCATTTTGTCCACCATTTCGAGTGTATTTTTTTATTTTTTATTTTCTTGTATTTCTGTCGATTCGTGAATCCCGTCGTCAGCACAATTTTGTCGCCCTCTACGCCATTGCCTTCTGGCTGTCGCTGCCGGCGCCTGCATATCCATTTGCTGCTGGGGCTTCCCCTCTCCTCGACCCTCTAACTGCTTGGCTACACCTTCTCCAACACGCTGTTTTCTTTTCCTATTTGTGCGACTATTGTGGCAAACGAAGCGAAGAACTTGGGCTGTGCGTGTGTATGAGTGTGTTTGTGCTGTGCTTGTGTGTGTGTGTGTGTATTGAGGCAACAATGGCAGCTCGCCACATGCACCGTGGGTTGGCGGTTGAGTCCTTGTAGGTACATATATGGCTGAACCTTTAGACTTTGTTGCAAATTCGTTTTCACATTCATTTAAAAGTACTGCAACGGGACTTGCCATAAATAGTAAGAGTAAATAACTTAAGGAGTCGGATTGATAGGAGCTAGAGATGGACATGGGCCGGCTATTTTCGGCCCGACACAACACGGCCACGAAATGAACCTTTGGAAACACGCACGCGCACGCACGCGCACGCACGCGCACGCACGCGCACGCACGCGCACGCACGACGCAAATATTTCTAAACATGGCCCAACACGACCCAACACGAAAATGTTATAACCATTAAATGTAAAAACGAAAAATAGATATATTCATATTAAGCACTTTAAATTTGTATTAAAGAATACATATGTACTCATCTATATTTGAGCTAAGAAGCCGAGCTCGTCGCTTATTTAAAATTTCTCCAGAAGTGAAAAAAAAACTCGTTCACTTGTTTGAAAAGCTGTCAGGGATATTGACTATATATCTTGATATTTGCCCTAGCAATTCCAAAATTTTTTTGCTTTTTTCCAGTTGTTTAACACACAAATTCCTGTTGATCCAGGAGTACATATATAGTTATATATTTCAAAATCTATTCTTGACCTGCTCAGAAAATTTTGTTTGCATTATTAGTGTCCAATAATTAACAATACTTGTAGTAGTGTTGACTATATTTTTTATTACTTTAGTTATTAATTTTGGTTCGTGTTACATTCATGTTTTTTCGTGTTTGCTCGTGCGTGTTTTGTCGTGCCTTTTTAGCTCAACACGAACACGCACGGCCACGCACGAAATCGGAGTTTGCAAGACGAACACTTGGGCCTCGGAATACTATTGTGGCTTAAGAACTTTCAATTATACATACTCCGAATGTATCTGATATGGTTCGAATAAGGAATAAACATTTCAGATTGTCGAACTGAAAGTAAGTGGATTGCCATACTTATTGTTAATAATGGAAGGTCTATAAGAATTGGGTTCCGACATACTGTTATGGTTTCGGAACTTTCAAAAAACATGTCTATAGAGAATAAACATTTCAGATTGTCGAACTAAAAGTAAGTGAATTGTCATAATTATTGTTAATAAAGGAAGGTCTATAAGAATTGGGTTCCGAAATACTACTTGTATTTTGGAACTTTCATTTATACTCTGACTGTGTCTGATATGGAATGTCTGTAAGGAATAAACAGTTGAGATTGTCGAACGAAAAGTAAATGGATTCATACTTATTGTTAATAAGGGAAGGTCTATAAGAATTGTGGTTTTGGAACTTTCATTTATATTCCGATTGCGTCTGATATGGAATGTCTGTAAGGGGAGGTCTATAAGAATTGGGTTCCGAAATCCTGTTGTGGTTTCGGAACTTTCATATATTCTCACTGTGTCTGATATGGTTGCACAAAACATGTCTATAGGGAATAAACATTTGATTACACGTTGGTTGATTTCCACACTTATTGTTAATAAGAGAAGGTTTATAAGAATTGGGTTTCGGAACTTTTATTTAAACTTTCACTGTGTCTGATATGGTTGCACAAAACATGTCTATAGGGAATATACATTTCATTACAAGTTGGTGGATTTCCACACTTATTGTTAATAGGAGAAGGTTTATGAGAATTGGGTTTCGGAACTTTTATTTAAACTTTCACTGTGTCTGATATGGTTGCACAAAACATGTCTATAGGGAATAAACATTTGATTACACGTTGGTTGATTTCCACACTTATTGTTAATAAGAGAAGGTTTATAAGAATTGGGTTTCGGAACTTTTATTTAAACTTTCGCTGTGTCTGATATGGTTGCACAAAACATATCTATAGGGAATATACATTTCATTACAAGTTGGTGGATTTCCACACTTAATGTAGTTTATAACGGAAGGTCTATAAGACTTGTGCCCCGAAATACTGTTGTGTTATGTCTGCTAGGTTTTGCTTAAATGCAAAATTGGCGTGAGTGCAGCCCAATGTGCAGCCATTGAAGGGCTCCTGGCAGTATCTTCACCCACGCTCCCCCCCTCCCATCTAACCGACGCAATTGCATACGCTCTCAGCGTTTTCGTCGCCGTCGTCGTTGTCATGCGTTTGAGTGAGTGTGCTAAGTAGCAAATATATTGCAAGCTGCTTTCAAGCACTGGAAAATATGAGTTTATGGCAACAATAAGCGATATATATGTGACAGTCAGCGTTGAAGCTGCTACCAAACCATCAGTCAGTCAGTCAGTCAGTCAGAGGAGACCCCTTTTTGCCGCCCATCTGCCTATTTGTTGGCATAGACACTTAAGCCTCATCTCAAATGTGGCAACAGCCACGGCTTTATGTGCACAATTACGTTCAGGCAGCAAGCATCCTCCGACTTCCCACACCTGGCGCTTGGTATGACTTTGTCGTAGTGTGACAAATTTTGGGTCGCTCCCACGGAAGTGAAGCGTGAATAATGTGCAGTTATTTATCAAGCAGCACACACTCATTAGCCGCCACAATCGAGCAATCAATCCAGCGAAACGTTGAAAATGCTTGAGCGCATCATCTTACCTGAAAGCCCACCAGACTCCAGACCTCCTCCTCGGTGGAGAAGACGCAGGCGGTGCCAGCTCGTCCATGATACTGATAGATGCGTACCGAATGGGCCAGAGCGACGGGTATAGCCGTAGTCACAATCAATATCCAGGCGCACATGATGGCACTGTTAGGGAGGGGAAAAAAATAAAGATTGAATATGAATGGCAGTCCTTTTGTGTTTGTCTCAGTTCTTCAATTGAAATCGTCACTTCAATTGCAGCCAAATAATTTCATTCTATGGTTCTTTTTCAGAATCCATTTTTATAAATTATTTAAACTATTTTAATTATGTTTGTTAATGTTTGAAAGTTAAGTTACAATGCTTACAATGGAAGAGTAGCAATGAATTAAAAGGTTTCAAATAAATATACACACGTATCATAAATATAGCAAATGAATGGAGAATAAATGTAAAGTCCTTTTAAATTTAAATTGAAAGGAATATTTTTCAATAAAATTAATATGGCATTTTCCGGCACATTGCGCAAAAGAAATTTAATAAGAATATTTGAGGTAATAAAAATATTTTGAACAAAATTGATGGTAACAAGAGAGAACGCTACAGTCGAGCAAGCCCGACAGTGTAATACCCTGTACCCAGGTAAACTTCCGTCACTGAGTTATATGCGCCCATAGCAGCAGCAAAAAGAGGAAGAAGAAGAGCGAACTTGTTGCTGCAGTTTGTGGGGGTTGTACTGGGGAGAATTTGTTTTGCTAATAACTTTTCTTAGAATTGACCGAATTGAATAAAATTTTGAACAACAGTAGACAATTATATATTAATTATGTGTGCAAAGTTTGGTTTAGGTAGCATTTGAAATGTGGACGCTATTGACGAAATTCTGTAGCGGGGGAAGGGGGGGAAAATTAAAAAAAATAAAATAAACTCTTCCTTTCTCGGACCTAGGAGAATCTGGATGCCAACTTTGGTTATTCCAGCTTTTATAGTTTCTGAGATCCTCGCGTTCATCCAGACGGACGGACAGACGGACAGACGGACGGACAGACGGACGGACAGACGGACGGACAGACGGACGGACATGTCTAGATCGATTTCTCTCGTCATGCTGATTCAGAATATATATACTTTATGGGGTCGGAGATGCTTCCTTCTGCATGTTACATACTTTGCACAAACCTAATATACCCTTTTTACCCTACGGGTACAGGGTATAAAAAGAAATTACTTATATCGCCAGATAAATAATCAATAGTCAAAAAATTGTCATTTTGGAATTAAAGCAGCTGCTTTATAGTTATTAGACTTACTAGAGGAGCACAAATATTAATTAAAACGATATGCTTGCAAGTAGTATAAAGGCATATTTGATTGGCAATGATTAATATTTCTATTGGTATAATCTACTACTATCGATAAGTCTCAATCAAAATCAGCATCAATAATCTTCAATGCTAATTATTTTGGTGTCAATTCTTCTCTTCAATTCTTCCGCAATCTTTTAGACCATCATCTCCATCTTCATCTCCGACCCCATAAAGTATATATATTCTGAATCGAGAGAAATCGATCTAGACATGACCGTCCGTCCGTCTGTCTGTCTGGATGAACGCAAGGATCTCAGAAACTATGAAAGCTAGAATAACCAAAGTTGGTATCCAGATTCTCCTAGGTCTGAGAAAGGACGAGTTTATTTTATTTTTTTGAAATCCTGGGTACAGGGTATTTCACTGTCGGGCATGCTCGACTGTAGCGTTCTCTCTTGTTTTTAATTAGCATTAATTTTTAATAGGACGTGGAAATTGCTCTAATATAAAATTTCAATTTAATTATTTGGTCAATTACCCCAATAAAAACATAAATGAAATAAACGTACACCTAAGTGAACCAATTAAAGGGTTCTAGTCCATGATGGGCTATGATTTGAATATTTAATATATTCTATAATTGAAATTCACTTCTTCTTTGATGGAACACAAAAAAAAAATTAAGTTAAATTGCTTTAAAAAGGTTGAATAAATCTGTAGCTTTAATTCTGATATAAAAAAAATTCGAATAATAAATTCCGCTTAAAGCAGCTGCGACGATGAAATGCAATTTTGTGAAATTTGCGAAACTGCTTGGTCTGTTGCCATGACGAGGTAATTGTGATTGATTTTAAATTACACACAGAATCCGAAAGTGGTTAACAAATTAACACAATTAACTTACAGTGTGGCGTTTCGTTCCGTACGCAACGACATGCTGGTCACAGGATGGACAACGGCCAGAAAGCGGTCGAAGGACATCAGCACCAAGGTGTAAACGCTGCAAAACGAAGGGAACAGTCAGCTGTAGGCAGAGGGGAAAGGGGGGGGGGGGGGGGGGCTGTCTGCTTACCTGCAATGGCATGTGACCACAATCATGTATTGGACAAACTTGCACCACAAATTGCCAAACGGCCATTCGGGCAACACGTAGTCCGTGGCCGTGAATGGCACACAAAATATGACGAAGAGTATGTCCGAGACGGCCAGGTTTATAATCAATAGGTTTGTTGTCGACCGCATCTGCTGGTTCACAACGACGACTGCGAATATAAATACAAATACACAGAAATATTATGAGTATGGGAAGTATGGGAAGGAATTGTGCATACATTATAGACATTATTTCATTAGCAAGACTTTACACTTTTAATCCACATTGCCATGGAAATGTTCATTATGGTTAGACCAGAAACAATTGTGGCCTCAAATAGCGACTCTCAGACACACTCTGCTCATCACTAATTAAGCCGCAAAAGGCAAAATAGAATGTTTCAACCGTTTTGCCACTCTGGCTATTTTAACGCTTCAAGAGGCACATTTCATTAATGCAGACCTAAAGCTGATTATACGCGTACATAATACTTCAAGTGTTTGTGGTGGCACCTGAGAGTTTTCAAAAAGTTGTGAATTAAATAAGCAGGCAGCCAAGTGCAATATTTATTGCACTTACTGCTCTCGATTTTCATTTAAATGAAAACACATACTGATATTTCCGAGAGTAACTTAAATATAGTTTCATTAGGAAATAAATAAATTACGATAAATGAAAGGTATACCCAGAATTGAAAAGAAACCTAAAAGCGCCCGTTCCTATTCAATATTTTGTAGAAGGTACTCGCCTGTTACAAACGAGAAGGATATTTTAAATAATATACTCCAATTTTCCTACGCATTTCATTCTTACATATATCATACAGATAGAATAATGTGCTTAGACATTATAGACAAGGTCTGATCTAGTGTAGAGCGAGTGATTAAAATGCAATTAAACGCCAGCAACCCTTTAATAGTGCCCCATTTATTTAAGGAAGCATAAAACCTCTTCCAAATGATTAAGTTCTCTCGCACATTTGAGTTGGCCTGCGCTGTGGCCATAAAAAGCAACATAAATAGGCGGCAAGTCAATGCCAACTGGACACAATGATTGGACAGCTGGACAGTTGGACAGGCCCTCAGTTGCGCTGTTATTTTTCTCAATTTTGCAGTCGCTCAGTTGGCAACTGGCAACTGCTTAACTGCTTACTTAAAAGCCAAATAGCGTAAAATTAATGCCAACTCACAATGGATGGAGAAGAAAACTGAAAAGGAAACCCTATTTGCAGCGTCCTTGTGGCTCAGGCGCCTTGGCGTAGCTTGTTTTGCAAGGGTCGCCTTCTTTGACTTTTTCCCCCTCTCTCTCTATATATATACACATGTGTGTGTGTGTGTGTGTGTGTGTTCCTTTAGTTTTCCTGACCAATTACGCGCACAAAGCACCACCACCACCACCACCACCATCAACAACAACAACAACAACAGCAGCAGCGGCAGCAGAAGAAGAAGCAAAAGGGGAAATGGCGGGGCCAGCAGCAACCTGCCAAGCGACCTTTGGACTCGAAGGCATCCTGCACACCATTCATTGTTTGGCTTTGTCCGACCCCTAACCGACCCTAGCAACCCCCTTATCCTTATCTCCTCTCCAGAGTTTTCTTGAGCAGGAGCCAGCGAGGCAGCCACTTGCAATTAGCCAACAATTTATGTTTCGCCATACAAAGGCAACATTGAAGCGCATGCAGGGCAACAACAACAACAACAAAAACAGCAACAGAAACAACAACAACAACAACAATAGAAACAACAAACAATGGGTAGCTGGCGTTGAACTGTAACAAAAGCTAAAATCGCGAGGCAAGCGACATACTCTTATACATATATATATATATATAGATCTAAAAAATTAAATAAAAACACTAGTTGGCAAATGTCTTTTACCCTCAAAGGTAATACAAATACGATTTAATGCACTAATGACAAATATTGTAATATAAGACTAAAGTTTAAATTTTTTAATCTTTGAACTCCTCTGCTGAGGCAGGGGAGACCTGCAAAAGTTTTGTATTTTATTTTGATTTTATTTAAAAAAATTAATAATGCTGCTGATACAGATTACAATAAAGTTGTTTTATATAATAATATAATATATACTTGTAGATATATGGATATTTAAATATAAAACTGAAGCTTATATTTAGATATGCCTTTAATATTTCAACTCTTTTACAAAGTCAGGGAAGATCCACAATTGTTTTTTTTTTTATTTGATTTTTTTTTTAATGAATCAACTAATTGTCGATACAGATTGCAAAAGAGTTGTTTAATATTATATTATAATATATTACAATAAAGATATAAAAAAAAATATTGCTTTGTAATTTCAATTTAAAAGATAAGAAAGCCTATGCCTCGATTCACAGCCGTATGTAGTCAGAGACATTATGGACCTAACAAACCTAAAAAGGTATGAATATCGAAGAAAACTTAACTCTACTGAAGAGCCTTTTAGATGAAGTAAGGAGCTGAAAGAGAAAAGGGAACATTTCCAACCCGGTGGGGCAGCAGTAAGTGATCAATAATTTCCCTGAAATAGAGAGAGACCTATCTGCGAATCTTAAGCATACAATCAAATAAACCAGACGCATTAGTTTTATTCATAACAGTTTTAATAGGAAAATTGAATATAAATTAAACTTGATTGAAATAATTCTTGAATCTGACTTATGAATGCCAAGAAACTGGGCACTAAAGCAAACGACAGCTGAGGAAGGGTTCGAAATGCTGGAACACCTCCATTGCCACTGTGCCGCACTCACAACAAACAGGACACAGACTTGCCTCACTGAAGGAGGCGCGAAATGCATTTTCGAAGCACATCGGGATACTGACAAATCAACAAAGCGCTCTCCAAACTGTTCATAATACCAGGAAACACTAAGGAGAAACTTGTGTCTAATACTTGATGTCTTGAAAGAAAACCTTTTATGGTCTGACTGTTGTAGTACAAGAAAAATAGCTTGTGTTCAGATTAAGTTGACAATTAAATATACAACGAAGGAGTTGAATAGAAAGTTAAATATTAACAGTTGCGCGTTTTCTATCAACACCATTAATTTATAATTACCTGACCCGAGTTGCAGAAAATGGAAACGTAATTAAAATTCCGAGAAATCAAGTACAGAGCAAAAAACTCACAAAACAATGATAATAATTCATCTGGACTTGATTTCTCGGAATTTTAATTACTGAACCATATAATTTCGTTTTCCATTTGATTCTTCTTTGGAAACATATGCATCTATGATTGAAATGCACATTTGTATTTCAAAACTAAATGAGCATTAATCCCATTAATCAATGCATGGTATTCTTCGTTTTTTTTATTATAATTAATGTATGGAGAAATTCTGAGAAAATGCAATGAATTATGAAATATTTAATTAGCTTTCATATAAATCGTTTTCCATTTGATTTTTCTTTGGAAACATATGCATCTATGATTGGAATGCACATTTGTATTTCAAAACTAAATGAGCATTAATCCCATTAATCAATGCATGGTATTCTTCGTTTTTTTAATTAATTTTTTAATTTTAATTAGTTTTCATATAATTTCGTTTTCCATTTAATGTTTGGAGAAATTCAGAGAAAATGCAACGAATTATGAAGTATTTAATGAGCTTTCCACAAAAGTGATGTGATTGTTATTAAAAATATATACGAGTATGTCATGGTTGATTTGCATTATTTTTGTCTGTGATTCCATTAATATTCCTTTCCCCAATATTCTAGCATCGCAATAGAAATACCTAGACCGCTGTCGACTACTGTAGTTGTACATGTTTGGGAACAAACTAACTAACATACCTACAGACGCTTTTGTGCATTGATTTGGCGCTGTGCCAGAAGCTGAAATAAAAATTGTAGTATGGCAAGTTGACAAGTGATTGGAACCAGGGGGGTGGAGAAGGGTTTTGTGAGCGCCCTCAAGAGTGCAGTCAGCCATGCAGTCGCGATATTGCCAACAAGGGGGAGGACACAGCTTGGTTGCTTTTGTTGCTATTTCTATTTGACTTTTGCTTTGTAGCCGCAAATCAATTTCCTTTATTGTTGCTCAAAATATATTTAGCACAGGATGTCAAAACAAATAAAATGGCAAGTGCAGTCTGAAAGAGGACAAGCGACAAAGAAACGAAAAAAGGAAGAGGAATAATGCCATAAATAAAAGAATAAACGATTGCAGAATACTCTGCAGAAAGTTGTTGAATAATTTTTGTTACCGACTGGAACCGACTGCTCCTTTTTTATATAGTCCTTAACACTAGTATAGTTAGTCAGAATAATAATTATGGTTTATTGTTTCCGCTTTAAACTAAAAATGAAGTCCTTACGTGAATAAAACTGATTGCTGACTAAAGTAAATTTGACTTGCAAAGAATGGCTACAAAGTTTTTAATTATCGAGCTAAAAACCCGCTAGAAAATGGCTTACAAAATAATATTGAATAGCTAGAATATAAGCTGGAAAATCCGCTAGAAAATGGCTTCAAACAGTACCTAGGGAGAGGATGAAACGTTTGCTAAAAATCCGTCAGAAATTGTATAGGAAGCCTACTAAATATAGATAGCAAACCCGCAAGAAAATGGCTAAAAATAACGCTATAAATAGCTAGAAAGCCCTCTAAAACATAGATAAAAAACGTAACGCTGAACAAGCTTTAAAGAGCCTCAGGCAAAAAAGTTCTGTTTCGCATTAAAAATATTCCTGGAAAACCCGAAAACCACTTGAAATGGCGACAAGCTAAAAATCAAATCCATGTAGGCATAAATGGGCATCTTCATATCACTGCTGATTTATGCTTACATTAATAATTTTAATTTTTCCAGCTGGTTTACTTGTGGTTCATTTATATACGCCTGTACTGTGCTATTGCTTTCGTCACAGAAAAGGTTGCCAAATCAGCATTCAAGACCCTCACATAAAAAGTATTACTTCAAAAAGAGGAAAGCCCGCGCAAAGCTCTCCTTCTACTTGTAAGTACATCATTTCGTTTCTCACCATCCTTTCCAACTTGACTTTGAAAATAGATATACTCGTTTGCTGCAGGGTATGGAAAACGCAACACAAATCGTTTCGTGTGGTCGCATAAAAATATGCTTCGCAAAATGTGCAAAGCAATGAAGTGCGAGTCAAACGGGATGGCGGGTTGACACTGGGACATGAAAAC